AGACCAAAGAACATGATAGAGATTCCGGAAGCAAAACCTTAATTTCTCAACCCTATTTATCTTCAACAAAGCTTCCACTAACAATCACTGGGGAGAGGAGAACCCATTCAGTAAACAGTGCTGGGAAAACTGGCTGGGACAACCCCTTCGGGTCTCCTCCCACTGTGGGAGCTTTTCTGTCTTTTCAATAAATTCTTTCAAAAAAACAACCGGGGCTCGGTGGCTCAGCCTGTAATCCCACGCTTTGGGAGGCTGAGGTGGGTGGATTGCCTGAGCCCGTGGGTTCAAGACTCGCCTGGGCAACTTGGCGAAACCTCATCTCTACAATAAATTAAAAAATTAACCGGGCGTGGTAGTGCGTGCCTGTAGTTCCAGCTACTTGGAAGGCTGAGCAGAAGGATCATCGGAGCCCAGCAGGTCGAGGCTGCGGTGGCCGGGAGCAGCCATTGCACTCCAGTCTGGGTGACAGAGTGAGACTCCAACTCAAAAAACACACACACACACACACACACAAACAAGAAAACTAGCTGACCACATGCAGAAGATTAAAACAAGACCCTTACCTATCACCATACACAAAAATCAACTCTAAATGGATTAAAGACCTAAATGTAAAACCTCAAACTATATGAACCTTAGAAAACGCAGGAGACACCCTTATGGAAATTGGAACTGGCAGCCAATTCCTGATCAAAACCCCAAGTGCCCATGCCATAAGAGATAAGATAGACAAATGGAACCTCATCAAACTGAAAAGTTTCTGCAAAGAAAAAGAAAATATCAAGAGAGTGGGGAGACAGTCCACCAAATGGGAAAAAATACATGCCAAATGTATTTCTGACAAAGGTCTAACATCTAGGATCTACAAGGAACGCAAACATGCCAAAAAGAAAAAGATAAACAGCCCTATTAAAAAGTGGGCAAAAGCACAGGATGGGAAAAAATATTTGCCAACTGTATATCTGACAAAGGCCTAACATCTAGGATCTACAAGGAACTCAAACACGCCAAAAGGAAAAAAAAATTGCCCCATTAAAAAGTGGGCAAAAGACATGAATAGATACTTCTCAAAAGAAGGTATATGGGCAACCAACAACACATGAAAAAGTGCTCAGCCTCAATCATCAGAGAAGTGCAAATCAAAACTACATTGAGATACTACCTAACTCCAGTAAGAATGGCCATTATTAATAAAACAAACAACAACAGATGCTGGCGAGGATGTGGAGAAAAAGGAACGCTTCTACACTGCTGGTGGGAATGCAAACTAGTGCAACCTCTTTGCAAGACAGCGTGGCAATTTCTGAAATAATTAGAAATTGACCTTCCATATGACCCAGCAATTCCCCTATTGGGAATATACCTGAAGGAACTCAAATCATTTTACAAAAAGGATACCTGCACACATATGTAGTGTTGCAACTCTATTCATGATAGTAAAAAAATGGAACCAACCATGTTGCCCATTGAAGCTGGACTAGATCAAAAAAATGTGGTACATATATACAATGGAATATAATGCAGTCATAAAGAAGGACAAACATGGATTTCGCAGCAACTTGGGTGGATTTAGAGTCTATCATACTCAGTGATCTATCCCAGAAACAAAGAACAGAGTACCATATGTTCTCACTCATAAGTGGACCTTGAACAATTATAATACTATAAGAAAGAGATAGGCAGTAGTGGGAAACTTCCAGGGGCAGGGGGTGGGATTGGCAGTTGAGGGAAACTGCTAGGGGAGGGAGGGACATACCTCATCAACAAGGGTACCTGCATAATCGTATATATACCTAACCCTTAATCATACCCCACATCTTTATAATAAAAAAGAAATAAAAGGGCAAAAGATATGAATAGACACTTCTCAAAAGAAGACATACGAGCAGCCAACAGATTCATGAAAAAATGCTCAACCTCACTAGTCATCAAAGAAATGCAAATTAAAACCACACTGAGATACCACCTAACTTTAGTCAGGCTGGCCATCATCAATAACTCAAAAAACAACAGATGCTGGAGAGGATGCGGGGGAAAAGGGAACACTTTTACACTGTTGGTGGGATTGTAAACTGGTACAACCACTCTCTGTGAAAAACAGTGTGGCAATTTCTAAAAGATAGAAAAATCACCCTTCTATATGACTCAATAATTCCTCTTCTGAGAATATACCCAGAGGAACTGTAATCACTCTATAAAAAAGATACCTGCACATGCAAGATTATTGCAGCACTATTCACAATGGCAAAAACATGGAACCAACCATGCTGCCAATCGAAAGTAGACTGCACTAAAAAAATGTGGTACATATACATGATGGAATATTATGCAGTCACAAAGAAAGACAAAATTATGAACTTCACAGCAACTTGAATGGATTTGGAGTCTGTAATACTCAGTGATCCATCACGGAAACAAAGAACTGAGTACCACATGTTCTCACTCACAAGTAGACCCTGAACAATTATCATACTACTATAAGAAAGGGATTGGCAGTAGCGGGAAACTGCCAAGGGAGTGAAGGGGTTCACACTTCATCAATAAGGGTACTTGATCTCAAACTAGGTAAAGTGGGGACCAACGTGAGACCCAAACTTTACCTGTACAATGACCATTTGTATACCGAACCCTGAATTGTACCCCACATTTTTAAAATAAAAATAAATACATTTTAAAAAGTAAATAAAATACTTTGTAAAAATAGCTACTAAGTAATTTCTCTAAAGTTGCCATTTTTAAAAATTGTCACTTGTGGTCCCAGACTTGGTGTTCATGTCTGATGTAGACTTCTCAGGGCCCCCACTCTGAAGTTCTCTGAGCCCTGTCAATGCCCACACTGGCCCAGAAAATATCTCAACAATGCCTAAGCAAGTCAGCTCCACCTGTAGAGTTCACCAGTGTGCAGAGCCCCCCTGGAGTCATGGCCAACAGCGCAGGCCCAGATCTGCAGGAGTACACCATTATGCAGAAGCTCTGCCTAGGCCTCAGCATCTGAGGAGGGTCATGTTTGATTCCACAGGCATCTCCCAAGGCTCACCTTCTTTCTGCCAAACCCTCATATACCAAAACTGAGGTACACAGGATGCCTGCCCCTCACCCTCGAGTGATGAGATTAGTTGGCAGTCTTTTCTTCTTTCTCATTGTTTTTGTTTCTGTGATACTATTTCTAGAGAACAATGTATTTCTGCTTTTGCTTTTATGTATTTGTAATTATAGTGAGAAAAATTTTCTTAGATTTGAAAGCTTCTACATTCAGTGTTTGAATCAATGACAACAAACTGGTGTAAGATTAAATATAAAATATGACATCATCGCATTTCCATGAATTGGTATTATTTAATGCCTGTCACAAAACATTCAGTTGTTTGTATGTTTTTCAAATGCTCTTTTACTTGTCTTGATGATTCACAAATGTTGCCACCACTGTTTAAGTCTGTTCTGACAGTGAGAAATAGATTCATTTGGCAAAGTCAGCTGTTTTATTAAAAGTGAATACTGGTGAGTGGAAAGGGGCTTGCATACAATTTTCTTGTCAAAGAATGATAATGGGGCAATAAGTGATTTTAGTTCCTTGAATTTGAACATCATTCTCACATGTCTCCACTAGCCAGTTTGTCTCCACAGAGCTTCCTTCTTCATTTTCAGAATAAAATCATCTGTTATCAGTATGTGGAAAATAAAAATTTTATACATCAAGTTTTGACGGTGTAGATTGCTATTTATAGGGTTATTTTTTTAACTACAAGGTAGAAACTTTTTTTAAGAAATAGTGTACAAGCTGTTTAGATATTGCCTTTGATTTTATTTCATAAGAAGGAAATATTGGACAAGTTTTTAATTTAATATGTGTAAATGATAAAAAAGATGTTTCTTCACCTGGTTTCAGTTAAATGCCTTAGCAGCATATTTGGTTGGTGCCTCTAAGAAAATGTTTAGTATGGTCATTTACCATAATACTATAAGAAAGGGATTGGCAGTATCCAGAAACTGCCAGGGGACGGGGGGGGGGTAGGGGGATTGCATAACATTAATAAGGGTATCTGATCTCAAACCAGGCAAAGTGGGGACCAAAGGGAGGCCCAAACTTTACCTGTATGATGACCACTTGTATTCCTAATCCTGAATTGTACCCCACATATTTAAAATAAAATAAATTAATAAAGAAAGAAACTGTTCAGTATGGTGGTAATTAACTTCTGTTAAATCTTTTAAAATATAGGGAGTAAACAGAAATACTAAGTGTTTACTCAACATTGGGTCAGGGATAAGGCAAGTCTTTAGTCAATATCAGTGTCATCAGATTGTCACTAACTTTTTCCCAGAGGTTGTATAGTTTTAATAAAGCATTTGGTGTCTGAAACTACCTTGATTGAGCATATCAAGATCCTTGGGAGATTCTAAAACATGTTAGACACTTTCTGGTATAACATTCTCAAAAGAACCAGAATGTATTATACATTACTGTTGTAATTTCAAGCCCATGATCTCAAAAGAACCAGGATATAGTATTAAACTTTACCCTTGTAATTTCAAGCCCACAATCTGTCTCTAAAAATTAACTAGTACTTTCAGAATTTAACATGATTTTTTTTTTTTTTTTTTGAGTTGGAGTCTCACTCTGTCGCCCAGACTGGAGTGCAGTGGCCGCTCCTGGCCACCGCAGCCTCGACATGCTGGGCTCCGGCGATCCTTCCGCCTCAGCCTTCCTAGTAGCCGGAATTACAGGCGTGTGCTACCACGCCCGGCTGATTTTTTGATTTATTGTAGAGATGAGGTCTCGCTGCCCCGGCGGGTCTCGAACCCGCGGGCTCAGGCAATCCACTCACCTCAGCCTCCCAAAGGCATGGGATTACAGGCTGAGCCACCGAGCCTGGCTTAACATGATTTTTATTTTGGTGTCCTGCATTGCTCACCAAATATTTGTTGTATTTCTTATAAAAGAAAAACCAAATGAAGATATCCCTGAAAAAATATTTTAATAGAATGTATCTTTATTTCAGTATCTTGAATAGTGAAGATGAAGAAATATTCAATAATGAAGAGTGTGAATATTCATCCAAAAAAAGGAAAAAGGATCATTTTAGAAATGACACAAATACTCAAAGTAAGATTATTTTCATTAATAACTTTATTATATTTTACTTGTTGATTATATTGGAATACTAAATTGCTTTGACAGTGCTACCTTATAAAACAAAAGATAATACAGATATGTCAATAACAGCATGACATCCAGCGTTGCCCCCTGACTTAGTGATGAACTAAATTTTGCAACTCAACCATTTTAGTTGATAGGATGTGTGTAAACAAAATAAGAGCAAAACTTATAAAACAGCCCACTCATCTGAATGACCAAATTGTGGTTTTGCATTCAGTTCATTCTTCATCAGCAAGGCCAATCTGAGGGGTGTCTTGACTTTGGTTTCAAAGTCACTGACTGTTCGGAGTAGGAGACAGATGTGGTCAGAGCTGGGGTTTAGGATGTTTAATGGGAGCAGGGTAATGTAAGAGGCAGAATGCGTCTGTGAGTGGGTGGGTGTATGAGCTCTATAGTAGCTCTGCCTTGCAGCACAGCCACGAGTCACCAAGACACAAGTTAATGTAGACTAGGCCCCCATACTCTCAGGGGAGAGATCCCAGTGGATGCTGGAAACTACAGATAGTACTGAACCCTATCCATGCGATGCTTTTTTTTTCTATACATACACACTTATGATAAAGCTTAGTATATAAATTAGGCGCAGTAAAAGATTGACAATAACTGATAGTAAAATAGAACACTATGCCAGCATCACTATCTTGCACTTTGGAGTCATTATAAGTAAAACAAGCACTCTGATATCACAACAGCCGATCTGATAATCAGGATGGCTATTAAGTGACCAATGGGCAGGTTATGCAGCTAGGGTGGACTCACTTGGCAAAGCAAGGATTTACATCCCCAGAAGGACAGAGGGCGTCAGCAGAACATTTCATTATGCTACTCAGAATGGTGCACAACTTAAAACGTATGAATTGTTTAATCCTGGAATTTTACATTTAATATTCTCAGACCATGGTTGACCAGGGGTAATAACTGAAACTGTGAGCGAAACTGGGTAAGGGGGAATACTATACAAAGAAGATAGGTCACATGGAGAATGTAGAGTATTTCTTAAAGCTTTGGGATTTGAGTTATGTGAAAATTTGTTTCTATGGAATATACCACATAGAACAATAGAATAGAACTTTTTATTCACGTGCATAAGAATTTAATAATTTAATTGCATTTTATAATCATTTGAGCTTTTATATGACTTTAGTCATTAATAATACTAATGTTCTTCTAAGTTATTAGGACTTGATATTATCTTAAATCATTTTTCATGTGAAGATGTTTCAGCACCTCCTAAACTGATATTAGGAAACAAAGCAATTCTGTTTGTATTTAACCAAATAAAAGCATCTCTTAATCAATACAGTAAGTCAGATAATTCTATTAATAATTTCAATTACTGAAACTCCTTTAGAATATTTTGAAATGATTTGCTAGATTTTAAAAGCAAATGTTAATTTTTATTCCAGGTTTTTATCGTGAAAAATGGATCTATGTCCATAAAGAAAGCACAAAAGAAGTAAGTATTCAGTATAAATAAGAGTGTATCTTGGATTGTTTCTGTTGAATATGTATTCATATTCAATAAATATAAGATGATACAGATATGTAAATAACAACCAGATGTGGTGGCTCATGCCTATAATCCCAAGGTGGGAGGATTGCTTGAGGCCAGGAATTCCAGACCAACCTAGGCATATAGTGGAATCCTGTCTCTACAAAAAAAGTCAAAAAAATTAACCAAGGATAGTGGCATGTACCTATAGTCCCAGCTACTCAGAAAGCTGAGGCAGAAGGATCGCCTGAGCCCTGAAGGTTGAGGCTGCGGTGAGCCATGATCATGCCACTGCACTCCAGCCTGGGCAGCAGAGTGACAGCCCAACTCAAAAAGTAATAAATAAATAAATACAGGGATGCCAAAGAATGCATACACATTTTAAGAGCTGTTATCTATGTATTACTTTTCAAAGTTAAATTTAATTACAGTAGCAATGTATACTATGGCGTTCACTCAACTGTGCTTCTGCCATTTTCTTTATTGTCCTACCTGTCACATGGTAACACTTGTATTCATTTGATTAACATTCTCTTTTGAGCGAACATCATACTTAAAATGTGTATATATATTTTTAGCACCCCAGTATATTAATCATATAAAAATTTACAACATCAAATTTGTGTTTAATATTCTAACAGGTGATAGCATATGAGGAGCTTTTGAAGCAATGATTTTTAATTGTGTGATATGGGTGTGTGTATTTTTATGCTTGTGTGCATGTGCATGGATGATGTGTGTAGTGTGTAGTTATGTAAGTGGTTGTGTATTTGCACACATTAATGTGCTTGTGTGTGGTATGTGCTTGTGTGTGTATTTTTATACACATTGGCGTATAGTGTGTGTTGTGTATTTGTGCACACAGTGTGTGGTGTGTGTAGATGTTTGAATGTGAGTGTATATAGTGTATGGTTTTATATTTATGCACACATTGCTGTGTGGTGTGGGTGTGCTGTGTATGGTGTGTGGAGTATGTGGTTATATATATATTTGTGCACACATCGGTATGTGATGTGTGGTGTGGTGTGTGGTTGTCTCTGTGTTTGTGCATACATTGGTGTGTGGTATGTGGTTGTATGTATATTTGTGTATACTGGTGTGTGGGGTGTGTGGTTGTGCTTATATTCACGCATACATTGATATATGATATGTGGTGGTATGTGTTGTGTGTGGTTGTATGTGTGTATATACATTGGTGTGTGGTAGGTGTGTGATTGTGTGTGTTTTGGTGTGCGTGCTGTATGTGCATATTGTATCTGGTGTATACTGAATCAGCAAAAGGGCTATTTTGCACCAAGCATGGATTCCCGCAAAATTGAATATCTTTTCTGTGTTCAATGAGCCCCTGTTGCTGATGGGGATGTGTCCTCCCTCTAGTGCATTTTGGGAGTTAGGACATCCGTGAGTCCCTCATTCCATGTAAAGAGTGGCTAATGTGAAATCAGTAATGGGGGTTGAAACTGTGCAGAACCGTTTCAGCTCTTTCCCTACCTTTCTTTTGCCAAGTGCATGAAAGGTTTTTTTCATGAGTCATTAGGCAAAACTGTTTAAACTGTTTCCTATTTCTTTCTTTGTATTAGAGAAGCATGGTTCCTTTAAAATCTTAGAGAAACTCAGAATTTACTTTATTTTGCAGCAGTTGGGGAAAACAATTTAGGGAGTATTTATTTATCATATATAATGTTAGGGTGAGTTAAATGTTCCAAAAATGTTAATGGATGTTCTGAAACTAGCCTAGCTTTCTATAAACTTAAGAATTAGATTCTGAGAAAGAAAACTTATACAGCCTATTTGATGATGGTTAATGGGAGAAAACTACCTTAGGCCAGACTTGATGGCTCACTCCTATAATCCCAATACTTGGAGAAGCCAAGACAGGAGGTTTGTCTGAGGCCAGGAGTTTGAGACCAGCCTGGGCAACATAGCAAGACCACATCTCTACACACACACACACACACACACACACACACACACACACACACACACACACACACACATATTAGCCAGGCAACATAGCAAGACCACATCTCTACACACACACACACACACACACACACACACACACACACACACACACACACACACACACATATTAGCCAGGCATGGTGGTCCATGTCTGTAGTCCCAGTTACTCAGGAGGCTGAGGTGAGGGGATCACTTGAGCCCAGGAGTTCGAGGCTGCAGCAAGCAATGAACTCGCTAATGCACTCCAGCCTGAACGACAGAGCAAAACCTTGTTAATAAATAAACAAACAAATAAATCTACTCTAATCCTTAACATACTCTGATATACCATTAGAAGATTATTTGACAGGCTCTAACCTAGTTTGTAAAAAAAATAAAACTTAGAGCTTATCAGAGGCCATTAAATATTTTATTAAATATTAAATATTTTATCTGCTTGATTACAGAACAGAGGACCTTATTTAAACTAGCATAAGCAGCAAAAAAGGAGGCTGCAGGGATATCCTCTGGATCCTAAGAACAGGAATCTAACTATGCTGGGAAGGGGCTAGAACTCAGACTCAGTGCTGGTGTGTCTCTGCCTCCACTGCCTTTGCATGTCTGCTACTTGTCCATGCCACCAACTGGCTGCTCCACTGTTTCTCAGGTTACATGCTGTGATTCTGGGCCCCTGCAGAGGGTGGGCACATTCAGTGGTTCAGATCTGCTTTTTGTGGCTCACTCTGTGAATCCTGTTGTGAGATGGGCGGCAACTTCAGAAAGTGTCTGCTGCACCATTGTGTAGAATGATGAAAAAGAAATAAAGTAGAAATATCAGTTGTGATTTCAGATTATAATCTATATCTAATTAAACTTTCCTTCCCGCCACAGCTTCCAGGAAAATGTTTTGTCATAGATACTCAGACAACATATTTGAAAGTTCTAAATGAATGTATTTCATTACTTAGTGTCTATATTAGGACTACAGGGGGTACCAAAAAAAAGTTTACACATTTTAAGTATGATGTTTGCCCAAAAGATGGCATTAATCAAATCAATGATAGTGTCACCATGCTACAGGCAGAACAATCAAAGAAAATGGCAGAAGCATAGCTGCTTCAACATTGTACTACACATTGCTACCATAGTTCAATTCAACTTCAGAAAGTAATACATAGATAATATCTCTTAAGATGTGTATACATTTTTGGCACCCCTGTATTCTTGGAATTTGGTTACAAAACTAAATGAACCTCTACAGTGCATCTGTTATCTCAGGTGGTGGTATTACTACTCTAGCTACTTTCTCTATGCAATTTGAGAAATAATCTGTCACCCTATGTTTTCTGTTATTCTCCAGTTTATCTATCCCCACAACTTTTAAATGAAAATCTATTCATGTATTTTAAATATTTCAAATGTGGAGGATGGAGATGGAATTTAAAAGGACTTCTGAAACCTAACGTACAAATCTGTAAAAACCAATATAGAATATAGGGTATATTATAATAGAAAAACATCTAAAATAGAATAAGAGTGTTTGCATGCTGAAAGTAAATTATGTTTCATTTTTTTCCTTTGACTTTTGGACCTGTGGGTCTAATTTCAGCTTCTTTGGTGTTTTGGGTGTTCGGTGTCTGTGCTCCCAGCCTGGAAGCTGCTCATGGTCACACCCAGCCCTTGCCTTCAGCTCTCTCCACCCTGATGCTGGTTTTCAGGGGTGTCTTCCTGTTGCTTAGGTACCTCTCCCACCCTTGATCCTTTGTGGTGGAGCATACCTCCACCCTGGGCAATGCATGCCTCCCCTGCAGAAAGATCCTATGTCCTACATCCACCCCAGGCAGTGTGCCTCCCCGGCAGAGAGATCCTGTGTTATGTGTACATGGGCTGTGCATGCCTCCCCCACAGAGAGCATTCCGCCCACCCCCTACAGAGATTCCCGCAGAGAGATTCTGTATTTCACCTGTATAATACCTGCATCCTTATAATATACCCAAGCAGGTGATTTATATGTTTTTAGTAGCATAGCCTAGAATATATCCATTTTTAAATGATTTTTGCCTTAACTTTGTCCACCTCCAACTTGTCCCCAGCAAAAGAAACCCGAAAGATATTTAGTAAATATTTGTCTTTGTCATTACTTCAACAGTGGTTTAAAAAATGTCAGTTAATGCCTAATGTCTTGCTATACATAAATGGCTTAAATTTAGCATTGCTGTAATTTTATTATATTCTCATCTAAATCTGAATTCAGTCTTCAGAATAAAAACAAATGTACTTTGCCAAAATTTAAAACAAATTTCACAGTCTAAGTGGCATTAACTGTCTATTCTTTTTGGCTAATTGACTAATTTGATTTATTTTAACTGTTCTATGTTGCTTTTCCAGAGGCATGGCTATTGTACCTTGGGAGAAGCCTTTAATCGATTAGACTTCTCAAGTGCAATTCAAGATATCCGAAGGTTTAATTATGTGGTCAAAGTAAGTGTTTTATTTCAAAAACTACTTTGATTACTCTTTTGAATAACTCTATTTTGAAGATTGTTAAGTATACAATGTTTTCTGATGCTTTTGGCTGTTGCATAAAAGTGCACCTGTTTGCTGTGTAGGAAAACAAAACAAAGGGAATGAGTTCAGGAGAAAACAGTAAGAATCAAAGATTCCCCTGATATCAGCATCACAGGTTGCAGGACCTCAGAGGGCATGCCTTCGCCTGCTCTGTGGCTCTGTGGTTGCTGAAGACGCTGCAGGGTGGTCTCTTGTAGGATTGTGTAATGAGTACACTGTCAATAATGGAGTGATAGGATCCTGGGATCTTTACTTGCTGATTTCATGTGTATTTTCTACTTCATGTTTTCACAAAGAATAAGCCTTGTTTCATAGAGGAAAAACTAGCTTATAGAAGAAAAGGAATTTTATACAAAATGGAACTCCTCAAAAGCCTGATTGCATTAATGATATCTTTTTAGGAGAAATTTGTATCTAGGGGTATATTCACAAAGAAAGGACCTTAGCCATATATTCCATTTCTTGTTTGCTTTTACTTGTCTAAAGATGAATTACTATGTGGTTCATTCACCTTTATTCTATTATAAGTAAAATATATGGTATAATTTATGAAGCTATTAATTTTGTTTTTCCAATGGTGCTGTGAGACATTGAAAAGCTTTTTCTTTTAATGGCTTTTATCATTTAAAAATGTTACTGGGAGGACAAAAAAAACCTAGAGGGTAAATAACATTAAGCCTCAGGTAATTTTATCTGTTTGGTTCCAAGCAGAATTTCCAGGGCTTCTTATGTAACTAATAGCTATAGCTTACTTTGTGCCTTTTGCTTCACTGAAGCCCAGCCACCACTGAGCTGTATGTAGGCTGGATGTTTCCACTGTTTTCTGAGTTCTCATATAGATATTTACTCACTGGCCAGGTGTCCTCCATAGGCATCTCTCTTATAGATTATAAAACTGAGATTTGACTCGGCCTTGTTGGAATTTTCAGGACTTAAGTAACCAGGAAAAACATAGGTCAGAAGAGATGATTCAGAACATACTTAATTGTTTTCTTAGTAGAAATTCTTGACCATCTATCTACATAAAAGGATTTAAATCTTGAGATGGGTGAAAGTCAGGATAGGGTGGAGGTTCAGGAGGAAGACATTGACTTCTGGTGGTTCTGTGCTTTGTCACCTTTGGTCACTGACTCTGGAGAAAGTCTAATCCTTCTGTGCTTTACAGGAGGGGAAGTCCATAGACAAGGGCCAGTGTTTTATCAATTTCAGCCATTTGAACCTCTTCATGATTTTTATGGTCTATGTACCACACACTACTATTATTTACTGAGTAGCTTTTCTTCAAATTGGCTTACTAAAATAGAAATAACTATGTTTTAGTCTCATCCTAAATGATGATACCTGTGAAATTGTAAGTTTTCTGTGCTGGTTGATTTTCAGTACACATAACTATAAAAATTGAAATGTGTTGTGCATCCACATACAAACTAACTTACCTTGCAACCCTTTGAGAAGTGTTTCTCTGAACCACCTCTCAGAGGTAGAGAGATGGGATCAATGAGTTTATGAAATACAGGGGCTGTGTTGTCCGGCCCTTCCACAGATAGCCTCACATATGTGTGCTCTGGTCTGTTTAGAAAACACGAGGGCTACATCGTCCAGCCCTCCCATGACTGATTTCATGCATGTGTGCATCATGTCTGTTGATTGCTGCCTTCCAGGCAGAGGCCTCACTTTGCTCATCAGTCAAAGGGAATCCCACCTTCTCCCTCCTCTCCTTCTTCTTCCCCCATCCCGCTTCCCACTGCTCCTGGCCTTCCACACTATCCTTGACAAGTCTAGCAAAGTTACTTCTGAAAATTGATTTGCTTCTGCTGGAAACAAAGATGATCAAGAACCAGCCTTTGTGATTATAGCAAAGTCTGCACTTTGCCTTGGTCTGGGCTCCTCTGTATCCTCATCCTAATGTCCCCATCTTCATTCCTGCCCTCCTCTGTTCATACCTAGTGCCCTCTTCTGTTTGCCCTCTTTCTGTGTGTTCTGCTTTTTACTCCTCTGCTTGCTGCCATCTACTCCAGGGACACACGGACTTTCCTTGCTCCTTAAACCATTCACATGCTTCAAGGGTGCTGCCTTCCTCAGTGATGACAGTCCCCTGTGGCCAGAGACCATGTTGCACAGACTCATGTTTTCTTACTTAGGCATTGCTCGGTACACACTTGCTGAGGTGAGTTGAATCCTTGCTCACTTTGCCAGCAGGATATTTGGTACTTTTTGCTGCTTTAAATGTTATAGCACTACTTACTTCAGAAACTGAGAGGATTCTCTTGCAGTTCTTCCAAATATCATGATTTCCCATAATTAATGCTCTTATCCATAATGTCACTCATTAGTGTTACTAGAATAGCTATAAACAAAAAATGTAGAAGCATTTTTTAAGTGCTTGGTAAGAAGATTTCTTTTTCTTTCTAATATCATTTGGTAATATCTGCTCTTAAGAATTTTTATGGAAAAAATTTAATTATATACATTTTTCAACTAACATTTTATATAAAATTCTTTTGTTCATCTAAACTTAGCAATTTTTAAAAAGTTTTTATTTTAGAGTTGTGGGGGATATGTGAGAATTTACTTCATAAGTAAATTGCATGCAGGTGAAGTTTGGGTTTCTAGCCGAATCCTTGCTCCCCCGGTAGTGGATATGGTGCTCAATGGGTGGTTTTGTGCCCCTATACTCCTTCCCTCCTCCCACTAGTAGTGCCCTGTGTCAGTTGTTCCTGTCTTTGTGCTCATGTGACTCAGTGTTTAGGGTCTGCTCATGAATGAGAATATACAGCATTCAGTTTTTTTGTTTCTGTGATAGTTAACTTAGAATGATGGTCTCTAGCTGCACCCATATTGCTGCAAAGGACATAATTTTGTTCTTCTTTATGACTATGTAGTATTCCATCATGTATACTTTCCACATTTTTTCTTTATTCAGTCCACTTTCAATGGATATCTGGGTTGGTTCTGTGTATTTGCTATTGTGAATAGTACTGCAGTGAACATATGTGTGCAGGTGTCTTTTTGGTAGAACAATTTATGTTCTTCTGGGTGTATTCCCAGAAGTGGGATTGCTGGATCATATAGTAGCTCGCTTTTTAGTTCTTTGAGAAAATGCCACACTGCTTTCCATAAAGGCTGAACTAGCTTACATTCCCACCAACAGTGTAGAAGTGTTCCCTTTTCTCTACCTCGCCAACACCTGTTGTTTTTGGACTTTTTAATGATAGCCATCCTGACCAGTGTGAGATGGTCTCTCATTGTAGTTTTGATTTGCATTTCTCTGTTAATTAGTGAAGCTGAGTAGTTTTTCATGTTTGTTGGCTGCTTTAATTTCTTCCTTTTGAGAAGTGTCTGTTCATGTCCTTTGCCCACTTTTTAAGCAGTTATTTGTCTTTGTCCTGCTGACTCGCTTGCGTTCCTTGTAGATCCTGAATGTTAGGCTTGTGTCAGATATATAGCTTGCAAATATTTTTTCCCATTCTGTGGGTTGTCTCTTTACTGTCTTGGTGGTTTCTTTTGCTATACAAAAACTTTTTAGCTTGATAGGCTCCCACCTATCAATCTTAGCTTTTGCTTTATTTGCTTTTGGGGACTTGGCTATGAACTCATTGCCTACTCCAGTGTCCAGGAGGGTATTCCTCAAGCTTTCTTCTGCTCTTATAGTTTGGGGTTTCACATTTAAGTCCTTGATCCATTTCTAGTTAATTTTTGTATATGGTGTTAGGTAGGGGCCCAGTTTCATTCTTCTGCATGTGGTTAGCCAGTTTTCCTAGCACAATTGCTAAATATGGTATCTTTCCCCCAATGTTTGTTTTTGTTGACTTTGTCAAAGATGACTTAGTTGAAGGTCTGTGGTTTTATTTCTGTATCTTCTGTCGCCTGTTCTACTGGTCTTTGTGTCTATTTTTGTGCCAGTGCCATGCTGTCTCGGTTATTGTTGCCTTCTAGTAAAATGTGAGATCTAAAATTTAATGCCTCTAGCCTTGTTCTTTTAACTAAGGAATGCTTTAGCTATTTGGGCTCTTTTTTGCTTCCATATAGATTTCTGTATTGTCTTTTATAGGTCTATGAAAAATGATGCTGGTAGTTTAATAAGCATTCTTTTGAATCTGTAGATTTCCTTGAGTAGGATAGACTTCTTGACAATATTGATTCTTCCAGTCCATGAGAATAGTATGTTCTTTCATTTATTTGTGTCATTCTTGATTTCTTTGAGCAGTGTTTTGTAGTTCTTGTTGTAAAAGTCTGTCACCTCTTTGGTTAGATACTGAGGTATTTTATTTTTTATGTGCCTATTGTGACTAGGATTGTGTTTTTTTATTTCTCAGCCTGCTTATTGTTGGTGTATAGAAATGCGACTGTTTTTTGTGCGTTGATTTTGTATCCCGAGACTTTACCAAAGTGGTTTATCAGTATAAGGAGGTTTTTGACAGACTGTCAAGGGTATAGAATCATATCATCTGAGGAGAGGGATAATTTAACTTTCTCGTTTCCTATTTGTATACCCCCATTTTTTTCTTCTGTCTGATTGCTCTGGCTAGGACTTCTAGTACTATGTTAAATAAGAGGGGTGAAAGTGGGCATCCTTGTCTCATTCTATACACTTAACAATTTTAAACTGAGACTAATCAATAATTACTATATAATCTTTGCATAACAATTAATAATGGAGTTTAGTCTTCAATTATAGATTGTTTCAGTTGTTAAAATAAAAATAAGTGATTTGGAATAGAAGTTTATTTTTTATTCTGATATACCTTGGCATGACTGAAAATGTGATATCTTCTGAAAACAGAAATCCAAATTAAATTGTCTTTTCCATAATACAGTATATAAAATGTTAAACCAATTTTGGTATTGTCTGTTTAAAAATGTTTGAAACTGTCATCTCATGTACTTTCACAATTTTTCAAAATTTCAGTCAG